ATGTCCGGACTTCAACTCCCAGAATTCCCCAGCCAGCATTCGCTGGCTGGGGAATTCTGGGAGTTGAAGTCCGGACATCTTCAAGTGGCCAAGGTTGAGAAACACTGCAATAGAATATTTGTAATAATGCAGGGTTGAACTATGGAGGCCTTTGGTGATCTCTGAACTCGGTTGCCTTCTTGCAAACTTCTCATTAGCCAACTGGGTAACATCATCAGTACTAGAAGGCGTGGTGGTAGAGAGGAGGAAGAGGAGGAGGAGGAGAACTGTGGGGCCCTTGGTGCTCTCTGAGCCTGGTTGTTTTCTTGAAGACATTTCATGACCAAACTAGGTAACATCATCAGGGCTACCGGTAGAATGGAGTGGGATTGCTGCCTACTTATACTCCAGTCAAGGAATTACCAACTCAGACAAATAAGTTAAGAGCCGCCTAATCAAGAAAGGTAACGGCACAAGGCAAATCACTGGTAGATAACAGAGAGCGAACCCCATCCTCCTCCACACTGAGAATGTTACCTAGTTGGGTCATGAAATGTCTGCAAGAAAACCACCAAGCTCAGAGATCACCCAGGACCGTATCCTCCTCCTCCTCCTCCCGCCCACCCAATTTCTCCTCCTGCTTCTCCTCCGTCTTCTCCTTCCCAATTTCTCTTTCTTCAACCCCACCAATGCCACTCCCTTCTAGCGCTAAAGATATTTCCTAGTTGGGTAACGAAGCATCTGCAGGAAAACGACCAAACTCAATTTTAACCCGGAGCTACAAACATTCTCTTTTATTCAGCTTGCATCTCTGTTCAAATCTGCCTGCTAAAATTACTAACGAAGCTCAAAATCCCCGGCCTTAAGGGCAGGCTCATTATCCCGAATCCCCAAAGAATCCAATTCCCTGGCGCTTGGCCACGGCCTGACTCCTGGCAATACCAATTTAGAAACTTAGAAAATATGCAGGCTGACATTGGCCGGTCCGTTTAAGATCAGATGAGGGCTATCTAAGGTCCCTCCTGCAGCGGTGAGATCTCTTGGCTTGTCCCAGTGGTGAGTTACGACCGGTACGTCCCGGTACGGGCGTATCGGTACCTCCCGGGAGCACCAGGTACGTTCCAGTACGGTGCTCCGGAGGGCCCGCCCACCTGTGATCCTTACCAGTATTTGAGGTTTATGGGGCTTCCTCGCACGAGCATGGAGCGTACGGCGCCTGCATGACGCTCCACCAAGCAGCTGCCCGCGTCCATGTGGTGGACGGCCGGCCCCGTTGCCCCGTACCTGTTGTAACAGGATCTGGAACCCACCACTGGCTTGTTCTCACTTGAGACTTTCAAAAAGAGATTGGACTGCCATTTGTCAGAAGGGGTGTCAAACTCAAGGCTCCCAGGCTGGATCCAGCCCGCGATGTGGTCGGATCCCGCCCATGGGGCCGTCATGGCCTCCCCAGTGCGGAGATGAAAGATCAGGCCAGCGTGGCTTTGGCCCAGTCTACCCAATGTGAAGAGGAAACATGCCAGCAGTTTGGGGAGTGGTGTCAAGCTGGCCACACCCACCCAGTCGGCCACGCTCACCCAGTCGGCCACGCCCACCCAGTCAGCCACGTCCACCCAGTCGGCCATGCCCACTCAGTCAGCCACACCCACCCAGTCAGCCATGCCCACCCGGGACGTGGAGGTCTATCGCAGCCCTGAAATGGCCCTGAATGAAATTGAGTTTGACACCCATACTTGGGCGGGTTGGACTAGATGACCTACAAGGTCCCTTCCAACTTTGTTCACCTGTCCTTTTTCCCAAGGCTCCAGATGGACAAGCTCTCCCTGAGGCTCCTTCCCTTCTGCAGCTTTCCCTGGAAGGACTTCAAACATGTAGGACGATCCCACACGGTCCTCCCAAGGAAGGTTTCAGGGGAGAGGGAAAATAACCTTGCCCGGGACATCCAAAGAAAGCGGGTATTTTTGTTTAACTCAACGTCATCAGTCCTTCTCCTTTCCCCCATTCTCCCTTTTGGCACTCGCCAAAGATGAGTGGACTTCAACTCCCAGAATTCCCCAGCTGTACACGCTCCTGGCGTACGGAGAAGTATGAAAACCCAGAGCGGGCCAAAGCTTTTCTTTCGGATGTCTTTATTTTTCTCCGTAAATTTCTTTTTTTAATTTTTTTGTTATGAATTTTAAAACCTCTTTGCAAACCAAATTGTCGTCTGGGTTCCCCCCCCCCCAACACTTTTTAAATTCTCTCTTATACGTAATTTTACATGACCATTTCCAATTTCAGCCCCATTATTTTCTTTCCATATTCCCATCTTCAACTTAAATTTTTCGTAACACATAGACGAAATCATTTTTCTGCCGTTCCACAAAAATATACCCACTTTATCATTTCATTTTCTGTTTGTTATTCTAATTTCAATAGGTAGCATATATCCTCAAGTTCAATTTTAATATAAGAAGTGTTTCACCTAATTGGTTATCCAGGCTTAACAATATTATCTTATTTTACTATATATCATAAGCAGCGTTAACATATTTCATTTTCTACTAATACATCTCTTTTCCCCTTCCTTCTTTCCTAACCATTTTCTCTTAACTCATCTCTTTGGCATTCCCCATTTTCCCTACTCTAAAATTCCCCTTTTCTCTCTCTTTCTTTCGTTCAGATGTCTTTGGATAGGAAACTAAATATGGGGTTCCCGTCTGTGAATTGGGACTCACCGGAGTTCTTGGCAGGACAAGGATGGCACGGCTCCCCAAATCCGTGGTCCGGATTGGCACAGCAACACTCGGACTTGGTGACGGCTCCCGGGAAGGGACGGGCGCAGGTGCCTTTCTTGATGCCACCGTAACAGGTGCTGCGGACGTGGGTGTCCACGCAGCCCCGCCCGTCCACGCCAATGGCCAGCCCCCCCAGGCACTCGCAACGGAAGGAGCCCTCGGTGTTGATACACCAGCCGTTCATGCAAATTCCCGGCGTCTGGCACTCGTCAATGTCTGAAGAAGGAAAGGCAGAAGACAGTGAACAAATACCGTATTTTTTGGACTATAAGACGCACCGGTGTATAAGACGCACCAAGATTCCGAAGAGGTAAGAAAAAAAAGGTTTTGTCCTCCCTGCCCCCGAGGAGCACCCTGCAGGCTTCAGCAGGACTGGGGGAAGGCAAAACCGCCTCCATTTTTGTAAAGAACGGGCGGAAAACGGGC